CTACACAACAAGTTAACAAAATCCCACAAATGAATGTTGTAACCGGCACAAGCCTCCAACTAAAATCTGAGTTTCTGTCAGTAATTGGGACAGTTGGCGATAACATTTTTTGACGGATAACTCGATCACATTCAGAGCATAACTTATGCAAAGAGTGAAGTTGTTCTAGCAGACTTCCATTACTTGGTGGGCATAACCTCTCACAAAAATTAAACCCTAAATCTTCCATGGCTACGCACTCCAATTATTTCACAACCCTAAAACTTGCTTCTTCTTCTTTTTTTTTTTTTTTTTGGGCTTCTTGGAGGCACTGAAAAGCTTGGTATTTATAATGGTAAAATAAGCTGCAGGTTTACTCTAAAAATTAGGAAATCTTGGAAATTGAACTTAAATTAGGAAACCTTTTTGCCTTTGGAAATCGGTCTAAAGTTTCCTAATTTTAATCCCTCTTGCAGTTTTAAGTCTACTGAAGCCCTAGGTTTTTTTAATTCGTAAAAGAAGGTTGTACATAAGCATAAAGATGCAGAAGTAATGTATTGATGGTGGAAGTTTTCCTATTAACTTTAGGAAATACCATCACTAAATCAAAACGAAAAGTGGCGATCGAATTTTAATTTAACGGTCTAATTTTCCCTCATGGTAAGGACTAAATTTGTAATTGTCAAATTCAATTCTTTTGCTTTTTTATTTTACTTTAAGATTTTTATTTTTATTATTACTATTTTTTTGGTTTAGGAAAATCCCTCATCGTCTTCTCCTCTGCAGAATCCTATTATGAATCCCCAAATCTTGATTTTCTTGCATCCCATATCAAGGGTTTTTTTATAGCAGACATGAAGATTAAGAAAACCCCCTCCACACCGCTCAGCGGTTTGTTCCCGTTCCCACCTCCACAGCCTTCCACACAACTCAGTTGCTCTGCCGCTCTCCAATCAATGTCGTCAATTGAGATCCTCTACTGCGGAAATAAGACCGAGATTGAATGCTATGAACCCCATTCACGGCCTGCAGTATTTTATTTAGTAATTTTCTTTTCTCCTAAAAACATATTACTCACTCCGTCATGTTATTGTCAACGTGTAGATTTTTATTTTCAGTTCGAATTACACTAAAAGTGAAATCTTAATCTAACAATAATCTCGAGACGGAGAGAGTATAATATTTACTAAACCGAAGTTTGGATTTTTTTTTTTTTTTGAGGACTCTATTTATATCTAGTTCTCTACAATTTCATAAGTTAAAAAATTTCCAAAATATAAAATTAGATTTGAAGACAATTTTGAATTTTACCTTCATTATTTATTTTATATGAGGTTTTTTTTATAAGAGTAATATTTTTAATTCATCCCAAGCCTTCTTAATAAAAAAAATACAATATTTTTAGTATTTTTTGTTCTAGTTTAAGAAATTAAGTTTTAAAGTTTTTTATTATTATAATATCTAATTTAAAATCTTAAATTTGTATAATTTTAATTATTCTAATATTTATATTCAAATTTTTTAATGGAGAAATTTTTAAAAAAAGTATGACAAAGATCAAAATTATTCTTAAGGGCATTACACCTTTTTTATTCTTTTTACAAATTTCTGAAATACAATTAATGTTTTACAGTAATTTAATGACTTTCTTAACCTTTTTATGAACCCTACTGTTTTATCAATTCTTCACCAAACTGTGAAAACATAAAATCCAATTGGACTCATTTTCGGCCATTCACCTGCAACCATGATTTTCCGCTCACTCTCTTCTTTCATCTTCACCCTTCTCTTCCTCCTAATTACCCCCACCCGCTGCTCATTCTGAAATTTGTCACACCAATATCCAATTCAATTTGCAAGCATCAATTCCCTTTAATGGTTATGGTATGTGGATGAAAGCACAAGTAAATACTGATGCATTAGTTTAATCCACTTGGTTAATTGTTTGATAAATTGTATTAAAAAAAATCAATGAGTGCCCAGGTTTTCTTAAAGGAGGGGATTCAACGAACTCCCGTTGATGACTATGGAAAAAGAAGGGTAGGGAGAAAAAAGGGAACGAACAGAGTTTCCATACTTGATTAGGAAAAGGGTAAAACAGTCATTTGTAATTTTAATATTCTTGTTGAATAATAAAAAATGTTAATACTCTTAAGAATAATTTTGATTTTTGTAATGCTCTTTTTGAAAATTTTCCCTTTTTTATTCAATATAAAATATTTTTAAAAAATAAAAAAATCTTTTTCCAAAAATAATCATGTTGACTTGATACTAAATCTGGTCAGAGTGTATGAATAGTGTCAAATGACAAAAAAAGTTACATTTCTAAAATGTAGATGACCATTTTATCTAAATTTTAATATTGAGGACAAAAATGTACATTTCACCTAATGTAAGTGACCCACCTGAGTTGCTAATTGCTAATTGCTCTATTCTTTTTTTTCTTTTTCTTTTTCTTTTTTGGTTTAAATGCTTCCTTTATGGATCTAATTGTTGTGTCAGTTTAAACTATATGTATATATAGGCTAGAATAAAGGCTCCTGATTATAGATTGTTTGTGACATTTGCAACGCTATTTCAGAAAATTTTATCTAGTGCACTATCTTTGTAGCGGAAGCTGAATATATGAGGTTGGGTGGGGGAGTGCCTGAGGGTGAATATGTGCGGGTGGGTGGGGTAGTTCTCATTCGTAAATTAGTATCTTGGTAATAAAGCCAATTTAGAAATCTTTTGAACATTAATTTTCTGATCTTGCTATTTCCCCGGTTATCTTTTTTTGGATTTTATGTGCTTATGATTTCAGATTCTGATAATGCATAACCCTTGAAACAAGAAGAGGGCGTAGTTGTTTCAACTCTTAGAAGTTTGGAAACAAATAAGTGGGATGAAAGTCAGCTCAAAATGCGACTCTCACTCGGAAGGATGAAACTAGATGTGAATGATATTGCCGATACCAAAATCTTGGAAAGATGGAGAAGATGGTCCATGTGAGCATTTTACTGAGATGAAATCTGAGACCTTGGACAGGATTCCGACACTCCAGGTGCTCAACCATATGAGAGGCAGACTAATCTTCTCACACTAAATATTGTGTCCCTATTGCCTCTATTGTGGAAACGATGAAATTTCTCCCAAAAAAAATAATACTGTTGAATATTGAAATTTTATAAAAAGGAAAAAAAAAACACAAAAACAGCTACTCATGCAAAAGATAATGTTTTTTTCTTCTTCATACTTTTTTTTTAATATAGGAGAATGACAAATAGTACGAAGGTTCTTGATAGAGAACTAATAATTTTTATTCCCTCCGTCCCATAATTATTGTCCAGTTTTACTAAAATGAAAGATTTTATTTTTGGTCAAAATTAACTATATTTTACCTTAAACAACCGGATATACCCCTACATAAGTAATTGTTTAACCACTAAGATTTTATGGATAATGTTTTTTACTAAGAACAAATGTGTAACTTGATCCATAAAAAGTCAAATTGGACAATAATTTTGAGACAAAATTTTTTAGGCAAAGTGGACAATAATTATGGGACGGAGGGAGTATATCTTAATTAAAAAATCATAAATAGGTTTCTAAACGGATAGAAAAAAAAAAAGTATTCTTTTGGGCCTGACAAACTCAAAAGGCAATATTTGTGGGCTATTTAATCGGTCAAAATACTCAGGGCCATTCAGTAATTTGGTAACATGAAGAGGCCCATCGCAATTTCTTGGAATTGGAACCTCAATGTACTGGCTTCTTCCTTCGTTCCACTTCGCCGCTGTCAAACACCCATTATCATCTGATACATTGTTCTCCGGGCCCACAGTAAATGTAGAATGTAGAATAATTACTGTTTATTTTTCACCTAAGATAAATAGTAAATGAAAAATTTTTTTTTTAAAAAATATAAATTTAAAAATATTATAATAATATTTTAAATTAATAAATACTATTTAAATAATTTAAAATATGACTTTTTTAATATTTTTAATGATTTTAATTTGACGGAAGGTCACATTACGTGAAAGGACGAAAATACCCTTGACCCCGGCGAGTCAACGGCCGGTCTACTTCGAGTTGGACGGAAATGTGGTTGAAACAGTTAAATAGGACCAAAAAAGTGTGAAAACATAATGTTTGGGAGTACGATATTGAAATGTTAATGTAAGAGACGTAAATTCAAGTAAGGACAAATGTAAGGACCATTTCAACATTTTACTCAATAAAAAAATATGTCCTTTTTCTCAAAAAAAAAATTGTCAAAAGACAATCTGAAACCAAGCCGGAGGTGGAGGTGCATGGCAGCCTAACCGCTTCCGGCTATCAAAACAGGTGATGGAGGGAAGAGTGTTGGAGATCATGAATCATGATCCCTGTGGAATCGTGTAATAGTGGAGGAAGCCATTTTTGCTGGAAATGGTTGGAAACTATGGAGAAACGTAGAAGTGACTGCAAAAGCAAAGATGGCTTGTGGAGGGATTTTGCACTTGCTAAATGCTAATTAATTTGCGTGATTGAATGGGGATTAATTTATAAGGAGTAGAGTGCACTGTTAGATAATCTTTTTTCATTTTAATTTCCATAGTCTTTGATCATTATCTTTGACTTCAGTATCCGCCATTCATCCCGGAAATTCAATGTTGGATTATGGGGATCATTAGTTTGATTAATTGGCTAACTAACCCACTTTCTACCCCGGCGTGCTCTTTCTTTCAACTTTTAGGTGACATTATTATTCCAATTATTTAGGATCCTTACTACTCCTCCGTCCCAAAATTATTATTCAGTTTGAATATTTATTTTTAGTTCAAATTGTTCTAAAAGCAAAATGTCAAACTAGATAATGGTTTTAAGACAGAACGAGTATAAAATTTAAGATGCGTGCTCCAAGTTTGATGACAAAGTAAATGTGGATTTATTAAACTGAGATTTAAATTGAGATTTGGGCCGGAACTCGGAAGAAATGAAAGACATTGATAATCTTTTTTCATTTTCTTTTGTTTTTTTTTTCATTTGCAATTCAACGGATGTCAATTGAGGGAAGACATGACAGAGATGCATGGGAGGGTTTCTGAACAATATTGGGTTGTTAACCAACAAAAGCAGATGGTTAATTAACGGACTGTTAATTATCATACGAGGACTTTACATTCTTAATGTGACCACTTACAACATGTCCTAATTTAAGAATCTGAGGAAGTTGGTCAATTAGCATAATCTGACCACCAAGTTATCTACAACTACGGCTACTACCAACAATCCTGAGGATATAGTTATAGGTATATTCATATTTTTTTTTTACAGAAACCAAGCGCGAGAACAGGGGAATAAAACCAACCAATTTGTTAGCGTCAGGGACAATCTGCAAAGAATTCCTCGTGTCTCCGTTAGTTACTTGCATACGGTCTTGAGTCTCTTTGCGGCCTTTACAAATCCGGAAATCACCTGTAATTCATCCAATTGCTGCACCAAAACAAGCATGGAACTTGATATTAAAATCAGTAACAAAATCCATCAACATTCAGTAGTAGCAATGATGTCATTAAGTGCATCATAGAATGAAATAATCATCCCGGGGAAAATGAAACATAGCGAAACTAGCTAATGTAACAAGTGAGTACCTGCGACATAAAATGCCTCTGAACAACGTCAATGAGCTGCTCCTTAGAAGGGTTAGGAATGGCGTCAACCTAAACCAAGGGAGGGGAATACAGTAAACCTTAGATGTTCAATAGACTGCAAAAAAGGGAAAGCTTATCTTGCAAATAAAACAACTCACAAGGTTAAAATGTCTCCAATATCTCCACAAAGCGGCCATTTCCAGTTTGCTGAGGTCAATCTTCTGTATAGGAACATTCCGACAAGGAGAATGAATAAAGATGAAGTCGGAAACTTCACTTTCACTAAACATAGACTGATGATATCTTTTAACAAGTGACACAAAAGTCACAAATGGCAATTAGAATGATAATAATTAGCTATATGGATAAAAGATTGCTTACCGTGGACCCGGGAGGCATAGAAACAGATCCCTTGGAGTGTGAGTCACAAGAGAGAGACCTGCTCATACTCCTGCGAGGTGATCCTGATGATTTATGCATGCGATTCCTTGATCTGGGGGACTTATGAGTGTCATCGGATGCTGAGAAATACCAGCAATTCAGGTAACCATCATATTTTAGTGGGTGGGCCAAAAGAATAGAAATAAAGTTATAAGAGTTTTTCTGTGGGTGGAAGTAAAAGAAAATATGTGAATATGGGGAATCCTATGTGACAACCTTAAAAAATTCTTTCAGGAAAATATCTCATATGATACTGTCTTTAAAAATTGATTGCATTTAACTACAACATCTTGATTAAAATTCAAAGCATCTTCAAGAAGATACAGAGGATGAGAGGACTAATTATCTATTCAGTAAAAGACTGAACCAGCTACGCAGGTAACAACTAACAGGATTACATAACAATGACAACCCATCAATGAAGAGGGTTAAATTTTAAATTCAGTTACTACTATGGGCAGCTATCTCAAGAAACCTTTACTGACAAATGCAGAAGGTTACAAAGATGGGAGTATTTCTTTCAGGAGAAAAAAGCTAATAATCATATGAAGCATTTCAGTGGGTCTGAGATAAAAATTTAAAATTGTGTAAATAAATTTGGATGGATGATGACAATCGAAAAGTCAATTTCATAATTCTCTAAAAATAAAAATAAAAAAAGGTCAATTTTCATAAGGCTTACCCAGATCAGAGACATTCCATTGCACATTTTCAAATTCAATATCATCATCATCTTCATTGCCAGTTGGAGCTTCTATAACACTTAGAGCATTCCTCTGTAACTTCACTTCAATGCCATTTGTCAGAACCTGCAAAGTACAAGCTCAACATTTTAAGCAATCCCAAAAATATGCAACAAGTCCTATGGTCATACAAAATGAAATTTGAAGTAGATATCTAATATAGAAATTATATTAATATGCTCTGCAAATGGTTGTTGCAGAGTTTAAAAATGTCAAATTGAACAATTCTCAGCAAGCAAGATCACCAAATTAACAGACTCTACATACCATATACTGCAATTACAAAATCTCTACTAAGAAGATTCCTGTTCCAACGCAATACCAAAGGGACAGTTCAAACAAATGGCAAGAATTTAGTACTGAGGGGCTAATAGACATAAATCTATCATTTAATCAGTTAGGGGCACCCTTAAATCCCAAATTGGAAACTCACAAAAGAAACCGTGATCATACTCGGGAAAACTATTTTGAGGCTTCATCTACAGAGAGCAAATTATCCCCCAATGGTTGAGTCATAACCTCATGGGTCGGTTAATCAAAGAGGGCCTATGTCCGAGTGATGTTCCATAGACGAGGAAATCAAGTTCAATCCACAAAATTTCTCATTATAAATCACATCATATAACACCTACTTTAAAGCTATTCATCAAATAAGAAGCCAGAAAAAGAAAAATTTGGTTGCCGCACAAATTCAGACAGGAATCATGTATCAGTATGACAGCTATTTATTTACAAGGCAATGATGAACCAGTGAGATCCCATAAAAGGACTGAAAGGAATTCCGAAAGGCATTGAATATAAAGTTGATTAGATGGAGTCAAATTAGTAAAATGAATCATTGATGGAAATGAAAAAATCATAAATACACCCATCAAAAGCTCAGATCCATGATACACAAACAACATGCAAAAGTCACAATCTACAATTAGCCACACACAAGAAAAAGAACATTTAGGTAAAAAAAATTTACATCTTCCACTTGTGAACCACGTTAGCTTCCACTATAACAGAATTGTTGGGGGAGAAAAAAAAGAAAGGAACTCTTTGATGACTTTTTATGTTAAAAAAAGGTGTATTTGCTGACAAAAATATCCGGATCACCATGGCCACACAGAACAAAAACAATAAGAATATAACTGCCCCATATTACAAATAAATTACAGGCAAACTACAATTCAAACCTTCCAAAATTCCACATTACCATACTTATTAACTCAATTGCAAGCAGACCCTTTTTTATACTCCAAAAGGCCAAACAGAAAAAAGAAACAATTCAAAAAAAAGTTACCAGCCAATGCCATCCTCCAAGTCCAACAGCTTTCTTGACTACACCCTGAAGTCCAACAAGAACAGACTTAGTCCTGTTATTGCCAGTCACAACAACCTTAGTATGACGAGGTAAAACTGAAAGCTCTTCTTCACTGCTGTCTCCGCAGCTCTGCAAATGTGAAGAAAATCCATTCACTGAACTCTCAACTGCTTCCAGCATTTCCAATAAAAAAAATCACCCGGATCACTTGAACCTTCCAGAATTTGATCACAATTCTCAATAACACCGGGGGGAATTTCAGACTAACCAGGGAGATCAAACATTGCAGAATTCGAAAACGGTGATCTTTTGAGTGAATTCAGCGACAAAATGAGTGGAATTTCCGGTTTTTTTGAGAGTGAAAAAACACAGACTTTGGGGGAGAGAGAAACAGAGAGGACAGAGGAAAAAATTAAAAAGATGAGAGTGACTTTTGTGTGTGTGTCTGTGTTTTTTTTTTCCTTTGGCTTTCTTTTATTTGCTCTTTTCCTCTGCAAAGTTATCGATCCCGGAGGCTCCTTTTTAACCAATTAAGTTAAGCCACGTCGGAATTGTGGGTCCCCCAATTATGCAATGGAGGCTTGCCTTGCGGCATGATGCCATACAACTAGCGGTGTTGGGTTGGAGAGTTACATGGGAGTTGACCGTTTGACTCTTGCTGCGAAATGGAGTTTTGAGCATTATCAAATGACTTTAATAGCCCCCTTATCGTTTTATTTCTTCTTTGAGCATATGGAATGGAAATTGTTTTTCACTACCTCTGTGTTATCTAAAATGTGATTCCAAATGAGATGCGTAATTGATAAGTTTAAGATAAGTAGGCTTCATCTATAATATCACGAAATATGTTATTTTTTATCTTCTAAAATAATTGTTTAATTTAAATTTTTCATTTTTAGTACAGTTTGTACAAAAATTAAAATTCTAAACTAGATAATTATTTCGAAACATAAGAAAAAACTATTGAAAGAGAATGCATTAAAAGAATAGATGGGTTAAACTCTTTTCTTATTCTTCACAAAGGATGCATGTAAGATCCGCAAGTGGTATATGTAACTGTTGTGGTCTATTCTTTGTCCAAATTCTTCCTCGTCAATCAACCACGCCAAAAATGAGTGTTTTGACATATTCGAAGGTGACCAAATAAAATTTACTGTTGGGAACATCTCATCGGTATTGCCTGCAAACCACTGATAACCAGAAGCAGTTGTATATCCACCTAATTAGTTGAATATCCATTTAAATCATATGAATCATTTTGGGTTTTATCTCTCACTTTGAAGAGATATTTCCAGTGCTAGCTAGTGTCTTCTTCCTTAAAAATGACTCTTAAATTGAGAAATTTTAATGACTCTAAAATTGAGAAATTTTAACTACGTGTGACAAACAGAAAAATGAGTAGATTAAAAAGATCAAAGTCTTCATCCGCTTTTCCAAGAAAAAGTATGTTCACGGGAAAGAACGTGGGAAGGGTGTTTGGGTAATTTGCGGGGGGAGACAGATAGCGGGAAAAGTAGCGGAAACCGGGAAATAATCGGAGGCGGACCCACCTGGACAAGGAAGTCTATCTACCGACGGTGTTGTCTTATCCGACATGGGCCACTTGTCCATACCCCTTCTCTCTCTCTCACTGAATTTAACCAAACAAGAATTTCAAAAAAATAAAAATTATCTACAACGAATACCTCTATCCATAATTAATTCGTCGTTTCCATGCAAAAGAATACTTAATTATTAATTTTTACTATTCACCACTAATATTATTGTATTGTAGAGTACAGCTAACTACTTTTCTTATTTGTACGTAAAATAGTTAATTAATTAACCCCATTGAAAACAATGGAGGAAAGGGACCAAACGTTTCCCGCCATAATTGAGCAGCAGGGACCGTGGATCTAATCTCTCCCGGCGGATCCGTGCCGTAGAAATGATTCTGCTTTTTCTGGGATGAGATCGTCGAATGAGATGAAGTCATCATGGAGAGGGAACAGAGGCCACAGAAAAAGACAGGCCTGTTTCGCATATTTACATGTGTAAATCATCGGACGGTTGAGAATTCAGATTGGGAGAGGATCCGTTTTTTTTTTTTTTTTTCCTGCACTGAAATTCTTGAATCAGGACAAAACAGAATTACGTCGGACAGAATTGGATTGGATAAAGAAACATAACGTACGCAGACGAGTTATATAACCGATTCGGAGGAACTATGTAGTGTCCGTTTTTCAGATGCGGTGGTGGATATTCTACAAAATGTTGATGCTTTGTTAGTGGTTGGGGTAGAAGTGTCCCATTGTGTGATATGGCAACGTGATTTTTTTTATAAAAAAAAAAAAATTCAAACTGTAATAATTTTCAAACATAACCGTCTCGATTCATACAGAATATTTTAAACACCTCAAACACATCTCGTTTCATATTCAAAGTTTACAAATTGTAACAGTAAAATGAATATTTTGTTTAGTAACACACATGAAAATGTATTTTCGGCAGTAATGAGACTCGTTATTTAGTTCAATTAGTGTCACTTATTTACTTTTATTGGATGAAAAACCGCTTTTTTCTATTATTTCGATTAATACACTGATCATATCTTGTTTTACTGGATTGTACGTTGGAAAAAAGAAGGCATGTTTTTCAATTTGTCAACTTCTTACATTTTTAATAACAAAAGTTACCCCCAAGAAAAATCTTTTCTCTAATTTCTCCACTCGGAGCTTCGTAGGAATCATGATTTTGAGCTTTGACGACAAACAAATTGTATCATGGTTGTGATGAAAAAGTACATCTCGAACAGATTTTTATTCTGCCAATGATTCTATCTCGATAGCTTCATTAATTTGTCTTCTTAATCTCCCAACATTCTGAATTTCAGAGGCGCAGAATGTCGCTAGTCTTACAACTCTATTTTGATAAATGTTTTTCGTCGAATTAAGTGACAGTTTATGATCCCAAAATACCATAAATCTGCCACAACATCATTAAAGGGCTTTTACGTAGTCAGATGTTTGCACTTTTGCAGTTCTAAACCCAATAACAACATCTGGATGGGCTGAACCAACATAATTGTACTAGCCACTAGGTAGCTCTACAATTTGCTATTGGTTAAGAACAAATGTGAATCGATTTCCAACATTACAAAATTGGACAATAAACTATACAAATACGCCACCGCAAACAACTTGCAAAGTGCCAAAGTTGGACAATAGTTTATCTTCATAAATCAATCGAACTTCTTTGTCATCAATCAAATAGTTCTATGATTCTTTTCCCCTAAAATAACAATATAACAGACACAGCAACCATCTATCTACCTACACTGGCTATTTACTAGTTTATACGTAGTTTAATTGCCGATCAATGGTGGCCATTGTTATTCGTACATTACAAGTTCACAATCTACCTAAAATGGCATCAAACAGAAATATTTCTTTAGCCCTTTCATTTTCACACCAGATGCCTTCTTTTTACCTCTGGAAATGATGAGTCTCCCATTCTTTGAAGTGCTAGCTATGTCTTTAGAGCATGATGGATCTCCATTGTTTTGCTCAGCCCTTAGCTTCTTCACTGTGTGATCTTCGTCCCTTTCTTCTGCATTCTTAGTCTTGAGAGTTGAAGAGGTGCATTCAGCAACTGGCTGATTTTCACCAGCACCAACTTGGGAACCTAAGATAAGATACCGGTGCATATAATGAATGATAGAGATATTAAACTCATTTTGCGAAATTACTCAGTGATTGACTTGATACACGTGAAAATACGAACCTGCAGTGGCTGGCGGCATAATAACTTCGAAAGGGCTAACAGTTGAACCGATACTAGAATTGATATTTCGATTCAGTGCCTGCATCATGGCTCCTGGATCAAAATATTCATCCAAGTTGAAGCTTGAGCGACTGGAATTGTCTGAAGTGGTGGAAAGTGAAAGCGGATCATCCAGATCATCCAGTTCCAAATAGTCATCTTCCATTATGTGTTTGCCTATCCTCTGAGGATCCAAACGTTTGTCAGCTCCATAGTTGAATTTCTGAGCACCATTTCCATTAGACATCAATGTAGCCAAATCATCCAATTCTATATAGTCATCATCTTTTATGTAATAAAGGCCTGACGCGTCTCTTCTTTGAGGATCCAAACGTTCGTCAGATCCAGAGTTGAGTTGCTTATCATCATTTTCATCATTCAGCAGGAACATAGTTAAGCAACTTGGATTCCCTGAAGTGGTGGAATTTGATATCAGCGCATCCAAATCATCCAAGGCTACGTAGTCATCTTCAAACATCTGATTAAGGTCTGATGTCATTTGAAGATCCAAATGACTGTAATCTCCAGCCGTGAGTTGTTCAGTATCACCTCCATTATGTGCCTATAAGACAAAAGCAGAGTTATTAGATCGGTAAAATTGTGATGATTATGAAAGAACAATCAATTCTATCATAAGGAAATGTAGCCTTCCACCAGAAAACCTTCCCTGCAACAGCGCCAGAATATACAAGAAAACTTAACTGATGATTAACAAAGGAAATGATGCAATTAGAGAGGACCAACCAGCAACACGCTTGGAGAACCTTTTGTATATGTAGTGTCCCTTTGTGGGACAACTGATGCCAATGAAAGAGCAAGGTTTCCATTAAGTCTTTCTGCTTCTGCCGAATGGTAAACTCTGCATATTGCTCTTGAGTCCTACACAGCATTCAAGTAAATAAATGGCAAGTCAGTTAATGCAAATATACTGCATTGAAAGAAAATCTAATGAATGCTGGAAACCTTAAATTACCTTTCCTATTTTGGTACCATGTGGTCCTACTTCTGTAATTTTGTACTCTAGCATCAGCCAAATAGTTTTCTGTTCTTGGGCATCCTGGACATCAATAAATTCCCAAGCAGTTCTCCAAACACTGATGGCAGAGTTCACAAAAATCTCAGAGGCGGCTTCAATCTCACTCCAAAACTGAAATTCACTCTTTTCCTCCTCAGTCGCAGACACGAGGTACCAAATTTCGCCTGTTAATAACACATTGGTTTCTCAGTGATTCTAATGCTACATGGAACGAAATTCATATGGAAATCTGAAGTGCCAATTTTCATAATTTTTCAAGATGAATTAGTCCTTTTTTCTTACGAGTAAGTATTTACTTTCAGTCCTGCACAGAAGATCAATCATACATTTTTGAAAATAAGGCCATAAATAAACGCAAATAAACCCGATCAGACAGAAATCTAATCATCCAAGTTTAATATTTAGATCCACATTTCAAGTTTCAGCAAACTGCCTAGTTATTTTATCTCGGTAAACAATAATCAAAAACCGCACACAGGACTAACCTGATAAATTATAAGGCTTGAACTGGAAAGGATTTGAATCAATCACATCATCCGGAAGGGGAAAATCCTGCCAGAGTTTCTCCAAAAGCATAATCGCTTGCTCGTCGAACTCATTTAGAACCACATCTGCGATTGGTCCAGGTGCCAGAGAGGACATGGCAAAAAAATCAATGTCAAACAGTCAAAGTGAACACTACAGTGACCAAGCCCTGCATAACAGAAACAGAGGAATGTTTGAATCAACTCCAAAGTAAAACTGAGACGCAATCAAAGGTGAATTTCAAAGGGAGAAAAAGACCGAAAGCTAGCTACTTCAAGCCTTTGCTGTGGAAACCCACCAAAAGGAATCACCAGATTGCCTAAATTTGAACTGAAATCCAATGCCCAGGATACAGAATATTCTTCAATCATATGAACTAGGGTACAACAGACTGACAAAGAAGACTAATCATTTTTCCACTCAAAACAGACCCAATCAGAGGACAAAGAATAATTGCAGGAAAGGGAAACATCATGATCACTCAAACAAAGAGGATGATAAGAATGACGAAAGATGAGGCAATGGAATGAATAAAACAGAGAAAGGAAACTTTACAAAAAAAGGCCGGAATGATAAAAGGCAGAATCAAGAAATTCTAGCACCTGTGAAACAGAATATTCATCAGTTATCAACGAGGTACCAGCATAAAAATCCGATCTTGTGATGATTGCATGGAAAGTTGGAAACAATGCAATAAAAAAAATAAAAAAAAAAACCATTCGCCCACAAACAATCCAAATGCAATACAAGATAGAATGAATTATAAGCATACTCTTTTATGGAAACAGACAATCTGATCATCAACAACCCATATCTTAAAAAGCCACTAAACAAGATAGAATGAATAGAAACGACAGTACCATGAAAAGACTAACCTTTGTAAGTGAGTTAGAGAGAGAGAACTCAACTCTAAGTGTTTCTTGTGTTCTTCTCTTACATTTACTTAGTCACTACGGGAAATAGAAAGAGGAAATGAATCAAATGAGGCCTTGTGGGGGGTTTATATAGGCACTGACAAAATGAGGATGACTTGGGTTGGCTTAATAAGACTGACCATGGTTACTATATAAACTACGCCCCCTGCAAGTGGGCTTATTTGAGTTAAAACTTTTGTTAACACTTTGAAATGGAAAGTTTTGTCCAAATTCTATTTTTTTGTTCCACAATTTACTCGTCTTTTTTTTTTTCTCATAGTTCTCCAATCTAAGGTCTGTGGAACAGTGGAAGAGAGGGAAAGCAAAGCATTGAGACTTTGATGTATACGTGGAGGTTCGTTATTTGATGGGTTGTGTAAACACCGGGGGGTTATGTGGAGCCCATTTTGGTGTACGGTACCCCGTCCGAGTCAGCTTTACCGCGTCCTCTACGAAGGTTCCGTGTCCAGTGTTTCTTCTTCTTCCCCCTCAAAAGATGAAAAATCATCTGCGTTTGTATGATGCTGCAGAGTGCAGTCAGCTGCTGACGGAAGCATAAAAAATATATTAATAAACATCTTGATAAGTAAAAGAACTGACTAGAAGATTTAAATAATCCTCCGATTTCATAATATGCAAAACAAGATTCAAATACTCAACTTATATAATGATTTTCATTGTTTCTATTTCTAAAAACAAAATTTTCTTACAAAACTGTGCCCTATTAAGTCGGGGGCTCTTTTCACTTTTCTGGTCTAAAACGCAAAAAAAAAAAAAGAAAAAAAATTAATGCACAGAAAGTCCGGGGACATTTGCATTAATGAAAACACTGAGGAAAGTGTATTTATATTTTTATTATAGTGAAAGGATATGAAAGTTGTACTATTAGTACATAATGTTTCCTTTTTCTCATAGTTTTTCAAGAATAATATAATAATATCTGTCTTATCCCAACATAACTTCTTATATTTTTAATACAATTTTTTAAATTCTCAATACAAAAAAAAAAAAATCTAAAAACACACATTAAAAAACGAAACGAACATAAGAGTTAACCTGAAACAAATGAAATGTGGTAAATCTAGTTGTATTCCAAATCGATAGGATTTAGAACTAAAAAAGCAGACTGTATTCCTGGGCGTTTGGAGTTTTTGTTGGATTCATGGTAAACCGCAAATTGCAAATTATTAGGAATACACATCCAATCATACTGCGACTTGTCCCTCAGGCGAAGAATTCCCACCTGTCCTCTCTGACTTTAAAGTACTTCAAATTCAGTACCACTATTGTCTTTTTGCCTTATTGGCCACTAATCTCAACTTATTCAATTAAACAAGAAAAGTAATTATAAAGATGATAAGTATCTTTATAACGCATTTTAAAGTTTCTGATATGCCAGAAACTTTTTTGACCCAAATTTGTGTTCATTGACCTCTTGAGCGGACGGGATTTCAATGATTTCTTTTTGTTCTCTCTGAACCCATCAACAATCAAGCCTTACTTATTTATATCTTTAATTTACCTTGATAGATTATGTATCTAAGAATTTGAGCTTATGAAGAAAATTTTATTCAAGGATGCACAGGATCTAAGAAGTTGATCACAATGTTAGATTTGTGAAGATAACCGAGAGATTGATCTAGAAAGTTTTTGATCATCAACCAATTTATAAAAACTGGCAAGAGGAAGAGTTGAGATTTTTTTTAATTCTCAGAAGGGAAAAAAAAACACATAATTTGACTAAAAATTGCTTTATTTTGACTGGAAATTGCTTTATATGTTTAATACAAGACGCGGTCATGTTTTTCTCTGATTTTTAGATGTTCCAATAACCAACCAAAAAGCAAAAATATGCCATCAAACCCCAAGTCTAAAATTCTAAAATGGTAATACTAATAATAATAATCATCAAAAGTAATAAATACTTTGATAACAGTGCATACAAGTAGTAAATGTTACATCAAAACAACACAATAAAATTTTTTAAAAAATTTCTTTTGACACATAATATATTTACTTAATAAGTAAAATTTACCTCAGTTCATAACTCCCGACTCACTGTCAATTCAAGAGTGTGTAGGGAAATGAGCAAAATCTTTTGATCAAGATTTTGCACCCGGTACAAGAATACACTTTCCAAAGTCTTGCATGCGTTTTTTGTCCGCACAATGGCACCAAAATGAATCATTAGCTTATGGTGCATGCATATTTGGATAGCATTTTCGATTGGAATTTGGATTGGTCAGTGTTGGATCAATTTAATTCAAACGATCTCTGCATACTTGGTTAGTTGGTTAGCCAAATTATCACTTTGCAATGAATATTTGATTACTTTTAATTGAAAAAATAATAGTAAAACAAAACGCAACCACCCTCCAAAATTGATGAAACTTTTGTTCTCAACTCGGAAGAAAACTCTTAATGCTCTGTTTGGTTTGTTTTTTTATGGTAATTTCAAAATAATATAACAATAACTGTTTCACCCCAATATATTTATATTTTTAATACACTTTTTTACATTATCAATAAAAAAACTACACTGAAAAAACGATCGAAAGTTTACCCTGAAGGCCTGAAATATTTGGCCTTTGGATATTGGGGGAAGCCTTACACCGTTTTTATTTTGGAAACTTAATGGGGTGGATGATGGGAAGATATGCCTTTTTGACGAAGAAGAACAAAATCTTATTCAACAATGTTGCATGGACTTATCTTTTTGTCCTTAGTATACACAACCAAAGATTCAATGAATGTTGTTAAGAACTTAAGACTTCCGGGGTGTTCTTGTTTTACAAGATGTTTAGATCTTTACTTTATTTTAATCCTTGTTTACCTACTACTGTCGTGTTTGTTTTCCAACTTATCTTATCTAGTACAACTACAAGCTCCCTATTGGCACGAGGGCATTCAAGGCCATAGTATTTTGATGTATAATAGGTGGTTGATGTCATATTCTTTATACCCACTAAATTATAACGAGTATATATTTTTTGGGTCGAAATTAAAATAAGAATGATGTTAACATGTATATTCAAATTTTAGAATACACTCATTTCGACTTAAAAAAACAGTCCATTATAAATTGAAACTTGTACTACTCTTAATACAATACAAAATTTGCAATGTGTACCATTTTTTTAAAACATAGATGGTATATCAAGAATTTGCATTCACCACAAAGGAGCAGGGTGAGTTATCATTAATTATTGTAGTAGAGATTTTTGTTAGATTAGAATAAAATAGTAGTTCAATTAAATTCTGATAATTTTAATTATTAGGAAATTTGATGAATCAATACACACTATAATTTTGAATTGTAAGTTGCAACCAAAGGTAATCTCTTCCTATTTAAATATACGTGGGTAAGGTTTGACTCATTAGAGACCAACAAAACTGTAAATACTCCTATATTTCATTATATTGTTGTTGTCTATAAGGATGGTTTAGGAGTACATGTCTAACGGCTCATTGCGCGCGATTGATTAAGGGTCTATTTGATCAAACTTTAGGATTTATGATCGTTTATTTAGCATCAATAATGATGAAAAAATGGCAAATTATCTGGTACACCCGGGGCACCGTGTACCCCTCTGTGCGTGTAATTTACTCTTTTAGAATAATGTGAATTCGCTAGATAATTCATCTTTTTTTTTCTTTTTTTTTTTAAACACGTGTGGATAACCAGTGTTCACCATGTGAATAACCAGTGTTGGCACTATGGATAACCAGTTACACACAACTAGATAACCATTATTAACCTGTTGGATAACCAGTATGGACAGTGGATAACTAGTGTGCACATTATAGATAACCAGTTACACACAGCTGGATAACCAGTTGCCAAATTTTATTTTTTTTCTTTTATATTTTTCTTGGATATCCTTGTCCGTATTTTTTACACTGGTTATCCAACTGCCCCTCATTCATTTTTTGTTCTCCATCATTTGGCAAACTTCCCCTCATTCAATTAAATACTATTTATGAAATTTGTCATGTTCAGCATGGGGGCGGCATAGCCGCGAAAGGCGTCGCAACCGGGTCGTTTAGTTTATCACGGGGGGATTTATACAAGTAATTTGTGTCCCCTCTTAACGCAATAGCATACTCTCCTTACATACACACACTCTCCTTACACACACACGAAAAAAGGATTACCTTAGCTACATTGGCGTGTTCGGTGGGACGGCGCAGTCGGGGCAGGTTGGTGACCTGCGATTCCGGTAGCCGCAGGAGTCGTTTAGTTTATCATGAGGGGCGAAGCCCCCCAATGAACATGCCGTTTGGATAGTCATTTTCTTATGGATATGCAGGATAATATCATAAGATAAACAGTTTAATAAAGAAGTAGAAAGACCAAGAAATTGGGACACTCAGTTTTTGTTGTTTGGGAATTGTGGATAATCAGTTTACATCTTCTGGATAACCAGTTTACAACTTGTGGATAACCAGTTTACACCTTGTGGATAACCAGTTTAGAAATTGTGGATAATCAGTTTACACCTTCTGGATAACCAGTTTACAACTTGTGGATAACCAGTATGAAATGGGTGGATAACCAGCATTTAATGTAAAGGTGAAAAATGTTAAGCGCGTGTAACGCGTGTGTTTGGTGGGGGTATACGGTATCCCGAGTGCACTGGATACGGACTCGAAAACAATATTAAACCCATTAAGTAATTATGATTTAAGAATCAGTATTAAACTTGAATTTTTGCTTTTATATCCTACTTGAGGTTAAATACTTCTTGAAATACCAAACACTCTAACATAGAAAATCAATTAACTAAAAATATTAATTAAAAAATTGTTAATGCTAAAGAGCTCTTCCCACTTCATTTGCGAGTTGCGACAAACATACTAGTACTAAGCGAATAAAATAAATAAGTATAAAAAATAAAATGGGACAACTGAATATGGAAAAATATTAGGGAGTTAAAAAAAGTAACTTCTGGGGTCAAACATAAACAAGACAAATGAGCCTACCGGCCCGTCGGCGTAACTTCTGACCGGCGGCAATGGAGAATCCGGGAATCCAAGACAGGCTCTTTGAGTTTCACCAGTCGGGTATTTACCATTTCGATAATTCAACAGCCGTATTCATCGATCCGGTTCGTGTCCTCAACCGGTCTTACTCGCGATTCACAGTTTCACCGTCTGCTTACTACTCTCGTTTCTTCGAAGACTCCGGCGACAAACCGGTTCAGAAACAAATTGAAGGTTCCCGAAAACGAAAGCGGAAAAAGGAGAAACAACTTCACCCTCTCACCGAAACGGAACAAATCGCCGAACAAAGACACCAGGTACGACCCGACCCGATTATTACATAGGTAATCGTAGGACATTGTATAAATTTCTTTTTCACTTAGAAGATAAATTTTTGGATGTTTTGAAGAAGGCAAGGCCGTTTCTGTTGAGGGCTCATGAAGCTTTGCTTGAAGCTACTGAACTTTTGGGAGTTTTGCGAAATTTGAGGAATGATGAATTTACTGAAGAGGGGAGCTTACAGAAGATGGAAAACGATGATCTTGACTTTGTTCAGCTAGGAAGTGTTTGGCAGGCACCATTATGTGAAATTTGTCTTCATTTAGACCAAGATAATGTTCCCGCCGAAGAAGGGGGTATGTTCTACTTGAAAGAAGAATCTTTTGATGGTTCATTTTCCTTTTCTTTTACCTTCACAACTTCCTCTGAGAAAAAGGCCTTTTATTATTTTGATTGAATCTCAGCTGTAGGACTTGTCCCATGTAGCGAGGGAATGTCTATGCCAGTGTTTAACAATCTTGTTATGAATGAAAGTGCCAATGATGTGGAGGCTGAAATTTTGAATCACAGATACATCATGCCTAAGAAGAGCTGCTTCTACATGGTATGTTCCTTGCAAGCTACTTCTCGTTTCTTTATGGTTGTAGGAAGAATTGTTGGTTTCTGAAAAGTTTCCTGGGTTCACAATGGCTGCTTATTCAATGTTCTTAGTTTCTGTCTTTCTGATAAGATTTAGTGTATATCGTCTGTCTCCGAAATTATTTTTGTGTTTGTTTGTTTGTTTTTGGGTATCTGGTGGCATTTTGGAAGTCAGACTTGAGGGACATTCATAATCTAGTACCAGGTACTTTATACAAAGTGAAATTTAAATTTTCACTTCTCTTGCTAATTCAATCTTTATATGGACGGACACAATCACACAAATACCAATATATTGACTGTACATTCTACAAACCTCTATAATACATGATTGTAACTTGCAGCTGAATCGGATTGCGGCTTCAATCTCATATTGATCGATCCACCATGGGAAAACAGCAGCGCGCATCAGAAACTGAAGTACTTTATTAAGTTCTATCCTCTGTGATCCTTCCATTTTGTAGCATCTGGCCATTTGGATACTTTGACAGTATCAAATCTGCTAAAAGAGCCATTGTAATCGGACATGAAGGAAAAAAGGGGAAATCAATTATTTGCCTTTCAAAAAAAAAATAAAATTTATTTGCCTTTTAAATACTGATCTGCTATTGCACATCTGCATCTGGATTTCTTTTCTCAACACAATCTCTTACTGTCCAATTTACTTTTCCTGTCTTACCACTTCCTAGGTACCAAACTTTGCCAAACCGACACTTCTTATCCCTTCCTATCAAGCAACTCACACATACAGGTGGAGCGTTAGTAGCATTGTGGGTGACTAACAGGGAGAAATTACGTAGGTTTATAGAGAGTGAATTATTTCCTGCATGGGGACTCAGATATGCAGCTACATTTTACTGGTTGAAGGTATTAATTCCAGCACTGAAGATTTTAACATTTTTTTTTTCTTAAACTCATTTTGCTCTATCTGACATAATTATGGACCACACAGATAAAAGCAGATGGCTCATTAATTGGTGAACTGGATCTCTTTCATCATAGGCCATATGAATGCCTTCTCCTGGGTTATAGTATCCAGCAGGTTAGCTCGTCTTCTTTTCGTGAAAATTCTATAAATTGCTCTTCTTAATGATTTTGCAAATTTTGGCAATGGTGAAAATATATGTATTCAGTTGTTAAAATAACCCTCTCTTTAGGATGCAGATATAGGTAAATTGCCGGGCCATAAACCTCTGCCTAATAATCAAGTGTTTATCAGCGTTCCTGGTGATTATTCAAGGAAACCCCCTCTGGGAGGTATGCATGTGGCGAACAAACCATCTCATTTCTTCTACAGCTGAATATTTCTGTTATTATTCTGCGTCATTTAAAATGTCCAGAATCCCCTGTCCCCTTCTCTTATGATCTAAATCTAAGGAGTAAGTTTACCTTTTTTTTTGCTGGATACCTGGACAGATATGCTGCTGGAGTATGCACCTAGTTGTGGAGATACTCGTTGCTTAGAACTATTCGCTCGGGAATTGAGTGCGGGTAGGTGTTGCTGGGGAAACGAAACTCTTCGCTTTCAAGATAGAAAATATTTTTCAACAAGGGGAAATGTACGAACTCCATGAAAATGTTCGTCAACGCAAATGGAGTTTGCGACTTGTCTGAAGTGCTTCTACATGCTTTAGGATCATGGGAAATGTTGTCTCGTATTACTGTGCAACAGGATGGTTCAGGGGTTAACAATTGTGTTTCTTTCAATGCGTCAGAAATGTTTGTACAACTGATGATAGTAGTAATTAGTAAAGATGGAAATTACCAGACCTGCAAATGGTCTCGGGTTTTTGTTAGTAAATGACAACCCTTTCCCTGTATTATTGTGGGATTGGGTTGGTTCAGAGTTGTATCACAAACTGCATATAGCTTCTTACGAAGCATTGGTAAAGAAAAAATAAAAATCTGAGAGGGTGCTTGATAGCTGATGGTGCCTTTTCATATTTTGCTCATCTTTTATCCCTACATAATGCGCATTGTTAGCTTCGAAGTTCTTTAGATGGGAGTTTCATTTTGATTCATGAACAGTTCACTCAAGAAGAAACAAAACTTAAAATAATAAAAATAAAAATCCATTGTATAAATGGAATGTGAGATTTAAAAATAATAACTTTTCTGAATGACATGTTAGCATCAAGGTCGTTGTAGTATAGTGGTAAGTATTTCCGCCTGTCACGCGGACGACCCGGGTTCGATCCCCGGCAACGGCGGTATCTTTATGTTTTTTTGTCTGTTTTGCGTTATTTTCCTCACCTCAACGTCAGCGGCTCACCCTCTTTTCAATCGCTTTCTCCGACTGTCCTTAACTCCTTATCATCCAATCCAAATGAAACTCGTTGTTCTTTCTTTCCTTTTTTTCTTTTTTAAAAAAAAAGATGAAACTAATTATGTGTGATGAATAAACACACTCTCTACATCTGGTTGTTTGGTGAAATTCAGAATCGCTCTGAAGCTCCACTGACTTCTATAGTGTTCAGACAATGGGTACATTGTTCTCTAACATAACAGGGAACGAGTTGCTTAAGTGCAGTGCTGGGTTGTAATTTGATTCTGTAACTCTCCCTAGTCCCTACAAGCAACATAATCTGCTAATGCAAATTAAAGGAGAGCTGCCTTTTTCAAATCAAAATTCAGGCAGCTGCTTAATCCTTAGCATCCTCATTCAACTTGTTAGCGAACTCTCCCATGTTTTGAATAAATAATCTCTTTTATCTATTGATACAAATCTTACAACGCGGCCTTTCCCAAAGGCCGGGACGATTTTTGTACCGTTAAAGGATGTCGTCAATTACTTGAAACAGCATCGTCCCAGTTTTCACACTTACCTTTCTCCAATTTGGAAGTTACTTGGAATATTAAATATGTATCACTTCGAAATACACATCTTATAAATCAACATTTTAAGTTTGGGTAACTAGACAACCAGAACAAGGAAAGAAAAGAGGTTGTCACAAAACCTACATTGTTAGCTGATCATTGGTGACTATGTACAAAAACACAAAGACACATTATTAGCATCTAAGCTGTGAGTCGAGATATATCCGAATCACTGTGATACCGCCTGAGCCTGACTCCCTTTTTGATGTTTTGCTATGCCTTTTTATCTCATCTCTCCTTTCTTCAGCCTCCTTAAGTGCAGCTTTTAACCAACCTTTTAGGCGCTATTACCTACAAAGCCCATGTTTTGACCCAACTTGTGTTATGTCATCAACCCAAGGTTTGAGTCCACTAAGAGTAGTAAAATGCAGCCAAAATCAGAATGAGGAAGGTGTGCCATTTACGGGAAAACATAACCAAAAAAGATAGAGGGAACTGAAAATTCCAACAAGGATTCCACTGTAGCAGCGTCTGAAAATTTCAAGTTTTGAGGGGCAATCTTTGTCCGTTGGTCCTGTAATTTGGACTAGAGTTACAAGACTCATCAATCTTCATTTCCACCAAAGGTTTTGGTTTTCGTCGGCTAGATTGTGAGTATTGTACTTTTGAAGTTGTCGGTGGTTTTGTGGATGTTTAGTTGATCTTTTGATCTTGTTTTGATATTCTAGTGTCTTTGTAGTTTGGTTTAGTTTGGGTGAGGACTACATATCTTTGTTGTATTGTTGGATTGGAGTACTCCTTCTCTTATTTGGTGATTAGTGGATTTGATAGACCTTTTGGTCTCGTGGTTTTTACTCCTTCACACCGAAAGGAGTTTTCCACGTAAACTGGTGTTGTGTGTTGGTTTTGCTTTCCTGTTATTTCATTGATAACTTTACTTTCACTTGGTGTAGTTGATATTTTTCGCTCCTACTAGATTCTTGTAAATTGGGGAGATCTTGGTTTGTTTCCGCGCTAATGCTAACTTGTGTTTGAACAACTAGTTTGGTTTGCCTATTTTGGTCCTTGCCGCCCAACATAAAACTACAAGCCTATGAGCAAAATTTGCAGGAACTTTTTGAACAAAAAAGAATTGCAACCAGTAATTTCTGCACATTATAGAATGTTCAGCAGACTTTTGCTGCACATTATAGAATTGATATACAAGGTTCGATCAGGACTTTGTTCAAAATGTGAATTAACAGAGTCTGCAAATATGAAAGAATGATATAATCTTCCTTACAAAATGAATCATCATTATCTGCTCATACAGAATGAATCCTACTTTACAAGTGAAAAATATGTTGAAACTCTGGCCATCTTAATGGGGATCATCAATAGTAACCTTGTACATTCAGAATGCAGAACACAATCATGACCTGTACAAATCATACTGTATTCTGTATACACTCACAGCGTCAGCATCAATGGAGGACTCAAGTTTATCAAAATTCAAAGCCTAGAACAAATCATCAACCAATACGGCGTTGCGTTTAAGCTTCCTTAACGTTTTGTATAGATTTTTAAACTCTTAATCTACTATAGAAACAATCAAACCCTTTCTTTTTTATGATAGTCCATCCAACCAAAATGTTATCACAACAATGTTTTCTAGTGAAGTAATTTGACAATATGAAAAAAATTAATGATATAGAAATATAAGACATAAATATAGTTTGTCAATTATAATTAATATGATATGTTATTCGGTTTAACCGACAAAGATATAAGCAAACCCGAAAATTGAACCAATTAATCAATAAATAATCATTTAAGCAAGACCTATATACATTTACGCAAATATATAGTACGGTATGTCATGGACCTGTAATGTAAGGAATTAATGAGAAATTTTCATAGAGTTATAAGATGGTTTCCTAACTGTTGGAGATTTATCCGGAGGATAAAACCCGATATGGAGTCCAATAAGTAAAATAAGACCCATCTGAACTCAAAAGCTCAAGCTTATGGGTTCTGAGTCCATCTTACTTAATAAATGATTCGCATGTCCTCACGCCTCCGATGTGGGATTCATAATCCTTGCTACATGACTCTCAACACTAACTTGGGTTCTACAAACGTTATTCTGCTGCTTTCTCAAGCAACAATGAACTCATGAACTAACTCTGGATTTATATACCTCCTGTTAAGCCGAGTTTCAAAACGGTTTTCAGATGAAAGGCAAGTTATATTGTTCAACTTTATTGAGTCAATCGGAGGACTAATCAATTGGTCGATTATATTATTTTTCATGACAATCCCTTAGGCCCAAAATGAGAATTGGATTCATGGATTGGGGATTTTCAATTGCATATCACAAGATGAAAGATGATCTACATCTAACCAAAAGATAATCTTCATTGTCAAATCCAAGTTAGTCGCGGGGTGATCAGGACATCCAAGGGAGAGTGGTTAATGGGGTTCTCCGCGAACTTAGGTTTCTGCACCTCTTTAGAATCTGAATTTTGGGGGGCGTTTTTTGGCCTCCAAATTGCCTGGGACCTTGGCTTCAGAGATGCTATTCTGGAGTTGGATAGTTTAGAAGCAGCAAATCTTTTGTCGAATGAAGATTCAAATAGTGTAAATAGTAATATGTGCAGTAGGATTAGAGGTATGCTAAACCTCAGGTGGCATGTTAGAGTAGTACATGCCCACCGAAACCAAAACCGAGTGGCGGATGAGCTGGCAAAATTTGTTTTTTCGTATCCTTACGGAAGACAAATTTTGCCAACACCTCCGTCTCAAGTGCTTAGGTCTTTTGCAAGCAGATGGTACTGCTATATCCCAGTCTTAGGGAACCTTTTGTATCTAAGCCGTTAGGCTTCCACTGTATGTAAAAAAAATTAAAAAAAAATCCAAGTTAGTCAATCAAAAGCATCCCCATTGCAGTCAAAACTGAAGAATCTTTTGAACCTCTTGATCAGATAACATCTAAAGTTTCATCATTCACTGCTATACACCTTATAAGTTACTAATACAAATGACGAGAAACCAAAATTGGGAATGCCCCCAACTTCCCATAAATGTTTCTAATTCTGCCTATAAGCAATGTAATCAGCCAATGCAATCAAAGGAGAAGCCTTTTGGGGATCGAAGTCAGACAACTGTTCTTTAGCATCCTTGTTCAGCTGATTAGCAAACTCTCTGGCTTTATCTAATCCCATTAGTTTGGGATAAGTGGTCTTATCCGTCGCAAGGTCTTTTCCGGCGGTCTTTCCCAATTCCTCCGACGACTTTGTTACATCAAGAATGTCGTCGACTACCTGAAACAACAGCCCAATACACCTCGCAAATCGTCTCAATTTCTCCACTTCTTGTTCGGTCCCACCACCCAGTATAGCTCCCAACACCACTGAGGCTTCCAACAACGCCGCCGTTTTGTGTATGTGGATGAACTCCAGCTGGTCCAGTCCAATGTCGGATTTCCCGGTGGAAGATATATCGACGACTTGTCCGGCGACTAATCCTTCGGTGCCGATTGATTTTGCCAATTCGCCAACCGCGGCCAAGACTCTCGCCGGCGCCACCCCGGCGGTCGCCGTGACGATGTACTCGAAAGCGAAGGCGAGGAGGGAATCGCCGGCGAGGACCGCCACGTCCTCCCCGAAGACCTTGTGGTTCGTGGGCTTACCCCGGCGGAGGTCGTCGTTGTCCATACAAGGCAAATCGTCGTGGATTAACGACATGGTGTGAATCATCTCCACCGCGCAGGCGGCGGGTATGGCGTTTGCGGGGCGGCCGCCGACGAGCTCACACGCCGCGATACAGAGCATCGGACGGACCCTCTTGCCGCCGGCCAACAAGGAATAGCGCATAGCCTTGTGGATCGTCGGCGGGTTCTTCACGGAGACGGAATCGTCCAAAGCTTGGTTTATCAAATTAGCCTTCTCAACCATGTAAGCTTTGAAGTTGAATACATCGGAATCAATCTGGGTTTTTTTTTCTTCTTCCTTAGTGATGATGGCCGAGATTGAAAACGAAGAAATGGGCTTTCTTAGATTGAGGTTATCCGGAGTAAATTTGGGGAAATTCATTGATTTCTGGGTAAAACCAAGTAAGGGTTTACATGGATTCTTTGGTTGATTGAAAATATAAGAATTGTGCAGCCATGAATCTGCCAAACTCATAGTAGATCTCAGTGCCCTGAATCTCGGGTTCGATGTGTTTGTGATTTGTAACTTTTATTTATATCGTTTTTGTACTTGGATTTTTACTTTAAATGGCAAAGAAGAAGACGGAGTATTCTATGAGGGAAATTAATTGGGAATTCATGGTGGGAAAATGGACACATATATGAGGACAGTGCTGAAAAGCTCATGGGAAGAAGATAGGGTTTTGGATCAGGAGGGATTCAGAGAGGAGGAAATGTCCATAATCCAATCTGTAAAATTTTAGCAAACGTGTCACCAATAAAAAAATGGTGGATGACATTTCTCTCAAAAAAAGGTTATATAAAAGCAGGCTTCCAGTTTTCCCCCACTTTGCTTCTTCATTTTCTTATTTTGGCACTGTACTCTGTAGTAGAGTTGTTATAAGACTTAAAGAGTATGAATTCTTCTTCAACTTATACATTGAGCACTATATAAAGCTTCAAGTTTAGAATAATTTTAGTGACTTTTAGTTGGAACTTGGAACAACAACGATAGTGTACCGCGTGTACCATTATTGTGTACGAGGTAGGCAGGAATACATATTTTGTGCGCCTAAAATGATAGTTAAAATGGATAGTCCATAATTCCCTAACTTATTGCCTAGTTTTAATTTTTATTTTTTAATTCAGATTAATATACACAAAAAGTGAAATTTCAAATTGAATAATAAGTATGGGAGAGAAAAATAGATGATTAAAAATGAGTATGATGATACATGGAGGTGCGCGGCGACATTGTGCGGACTATAAGAAAAACATTTGAAAAGGTATAAATCACATATATCATGAAGTAAATTTTATAACAGATTATTGGTCTTTTCTAACAACAAATATTCCTAGAGAGATTTTATATGATTGTAGTAGTACGATGTTCTACATGAAAATAATTTGTAATTGAAATACGAAATTGTTGGTGCGTGTTTATCACCTATACACATACTAGTGATGTATGATCGCGACCCTGGTCCAATATATCTGTAAATTTTAAAAATATTTATATCTAAAAAAAAAATATTTTGTATTTGGCCCGATATATTTTAGAAATTTTTGAAGAATTTAGAAATATTTTATAACTGTGATCATAAAAATGTTTGTATTTGGCATAAAAAGAAATTATATTTGGTCCGGTACATTTTAGAAATATTTGAAGATTTTAGAAATGTTTTATAAGTGTTACTTCTTAAATATAAATAAAGTTGATCAAATATATGTCTCGAAGTAAATGTTAGACAAAATATGAAAGCATGCCAATAAGTTTAAATATTAGTAAGAAAATTTATTGATGTTCTCTATTGGTTGTGCCAAGTCAATACTTAGTTTTGGAAATTTATAATAGCTTTGTAGTAAGCTTCCTCCCAAGGGTATACGCTTAATTGTTGGAACTATTTTTTCTAAAAGTTTATAGGTAGTAAAATATAAAAAATATGATTTTGAAACTGGTTAATTGTTGAAACTAGTTGATCACAAATATGAGAATGAAAATAATATAAATTTACATAGGTTTCAAGTTATAACAAAAAAGAACTCACCTCATCATGGCAAATAAAGAAAAAAAAAAAAATTAAAAGATAGCCCATTTAAAATTGAGAAATTTATTTGTATAAAAACACAAATAAACGTAGAAACATTATTCCTTCCCTCTCCGCCTCAAATTCATAAAAGGCCTCCCCATAAATTAATTAGAAGAAGCGACCTGAACTATTTATATGATGAGTAACTAAAAAAAGTCCAAAAATCAAATCCAAAAAAGTATATTCTTGAAAGCCCGAAAAAAAAAAATGCGCTTCATTTGCAAATAAAATAATAATAATAATAATAATAATAATAATAATAATGACAATGATAATAATAATAATAATAATAATAATAATAATAATAATAATAATAATAATAATTGGTCAACTGTGAGTATGAAACAAAATCAAAAGCAATTAAACAAAGAAAAAACATACTTCATAACTGACCATATACGAAAAAAAAATCGAGACTCCATAATTAAAAAAAAAACCACTCTAATTGAATGAAATATAAAAAAGAAATTTAAAAAACCACATTTCCTAACAAAAACCCAATTAATGAATTCAATCCAAACAGAACTAAAATCATACAAAACTTATAGGCTAATTAACCATATAAGAAATCACATCATATTACATGACAACGACTACGGTAATTGTAACGGATGGACGTATAAAAATAATAGTAATAATACTTTCTTGAACGGAAAAAAACAAAAAATAATAAAAGCCAAACAAATGATCTGCGAAAATAAAATCATTTAAATTTTAGTACCTATAATTGCACCACCACAACGGCCGAAGCAAGATCAATGAGAATTTTTTTTTCTTTGTATTTATATAGAGGGGTAAAGAGAATATTTTTTGAAGTCGAAATTTTATCCGATTAGGATGTAGTTGATCATCACTAATGAAGAAATTGAACATGCTAATTAGAATGGAGTATATTTCAACACATATTCTAAATTGATGATTGATGAGGAATTTGTTTTTTTCATTATGGAGAAAGAATTGATTAGGGAGTCCATTGTGGTAGAAATGGGGATAAGGATTTGAGTTTTTTATGAACCCATGGTTTTTTTTTTTTTGGCGAAAATAGGAGGTGAAGGTGGATTTAGACTACATTTGCTTTTTAAGTCTAAGAGATGTGGAAATAAATTTATTTTAAAAATATGATGTGAAAATGTCACATGGCAAATGGTGGTACTTCCTCTTAAGTGTGGTTTTTGTTTCTAATATAGTAAGATGTAATATTAACACTTTGTCAAAAAAAAAAAAACTAATAATAATAATAATAAAAATGCAAAGGGACTTACATATGTATGTAATAATAAATGGTAAGGATATACTAGCAAAAGGATTAAAAAATTAAGTAAGCGATTAGAGTTGAACCGTCAAAGGTAAATTTTGTAATAAATCATGCGATTTCACTAAAAAAGTGACTAACAAGATCTTGAAATCTCTTTGTATTGAAACATTGGTTACCTTCTCTAAAAAAAATTGTTACAATGCAGTAGAGTGAGTTTTGGTTCAGCCTGACAGGGAATTTGCATCCTATTTTTTCTTCTTTTTGCCTAAAGGAGATGCAAGACAACTGAAATAAATTGAATTTATTTCCTTGCCTCAGGACTTTAAACCAAAGTCTTCAAAGATGGCATGATTTTTTTTGTGTAAAGGTCCTTTTGCATATAATAATACTTGTAGTAGCTTAGTAGGGTACCCTATCAATGGTCCAAAAGACAAGAGAATAATTGAAACGAGTATTTCATTAATTTTGGGTGGAAAAAGAATCCCCTAAAAATTAAAACAATAATACTAATAGAAAATAAAAAAAATCCATAGCTCCGTAACGCACACTGTAACAAACAATAATAGTAGTACAAAAAATTCAGCTGATTAATTAATAATCAATAATTTGTTTTCCAAAAAAAAAAAGAAGATTAATTAATAATTTTTTAGAAAAATTATTTCCTAAAGTGGACTCGCTTTCATCCTTCTGTCTCATAGTCATAGATTCTTTCTCTTTCTCTCTCTTTCCTCCCTCCCTCCCTCCCTCTTCATCAAATTCGATAAGAACCCTTCTTTGTTGAAATCTCAATTCAGAATCTTTACTCCTTTTCTTCTCTCTTCCGGGCTTTTCATCATCTAGGTTAGATGAGTTCCCTCTTCTTCGTTCATATAGATTTAGCTCTTGATTATGGATTTTTGTTTAGATCACAACAATTAGTCTAGGGTTTTTGTTGATTTTACCTGGAAATTTGATTCTTCTTTCTTTTGATGGTATGAAGTTTGTTTGATCCGAGGTTTTTGATTGCCTGTTCTCTGTGATTTGAATACTTCTTCTGTTTTAGTTGAATAGTTTATCTCTGCCCATATCATACCGTGCTATATTTTTCATGTTTTATTTATTTATTTATCTTTTGATGTGTTTAGATATTATCTTCGTCGTGATATGTTATAAGCTGATGATCAAACTTAAAAGAGGATGAAAATTTGGTGTTCAATATCAGTTCTAAGTTCTAACTTCTAATCGGACCATAATGTTTATCTCGAAGATTCTGTTTGAGCAAGATTCTAGTTACTATCAAGTTAATCGTTGAAGATGTGTATATGGGTTCGGCTTGTGTCTTTCTTTTGCTAGTAGCTTCTAGTATCTTATTAATATGTTTGCATTATATTGGTTATGGTTCAAAGAGCTAAATAGTCTGGATGTTTGTTTTTGAGATTCATAATGTGCAAAATTCCGTTAGGAAAGTGTATGATGAAGGTGTCTTGGTTGACAAATATGATTCTCATGATGACTTTTCTTGCCATTCGCAACGAGGGACATGTAAATTGTAGGATGTGGAGTTGTTTCGCTGGATATTGTTGCTCCACTTTATGTAATGCTATGACTTGTTAGTTTGCTCTTATTTTTGTTTGGGAAGTGATAATCTGTCCAAACTTTGGTGAGTATGTTAGGCAACTGTTTTATTGTTAAACAAAAAGTCTATTTTATAGCCGAGAATCATAAATACAGAGTGTTTTTAATGTTACCCCATACGAAGTTTTGAACTCTTACTAACATTTTAATGTTATTTTTAAGGATCTAATATCTGGTATATTTTCTTTGTAGGACAATGATTAAGCTATTCAAAGTAAAGGAAAAGCAGAAGGAACTTGCTGAAAATGCCAATGGGAAACCTCCTGGCAAGAAGCAAAGTGCTGGAGAACTTCGCCTCCACAAAGGTTATTCCCTCCTCTCCGTTGTTAATGTTTAATCATCTCTGAGCTGCAAGAATGGCACCTTATGTTGTTGGCTTGATACTCTCCGGTCATAGGAACTTTTTGTCTTTTGGTTGGTTTCTTGATGATATGTGCCATAGGCTTTCAGCTTTCTTAATAAGCAAAAAGGTTTGGACTTAAAATCGTTTATACATCCCATGTTGTTGATTGCTGATGTTGGTATTGTATGAAGGTTGGGGGTTTAATGAAATGTGAAACTGATGCTGTAAGGTTTTTTTCAAAGATGCCACCATTTGTCCTCTGTCAGAAATTCCCATAAACTCTATGCCGCTTAAGATTTAGTTTAGGACAATGGAGGAGTTAACACTTTTTTGAACTGTGATTCACTTGTGCAAATCGTTTGATGATTTCTTCTTTACCCAACTCATGAATGATGAATTGAAACATAGTGTACCTTGCATTGGATAACCTCGTGGTTGTGCTAACTTCAATTATTTACTTTACTTGGTGTTAACACATCAAGTGCTCTTGAATACTTATCACTCTACTGAAACTAAAGGCATTAAGTACTACTGAAGGTAGCAAATTTGGCATGTTCCTTCTCACCTGTCTCGTGCATGAGAGTGCTCTGCTTACACGTCCTCTTATCTGCAGATATTAGTGAATTGAATCTGCCGAAAACATGCACCATATCATTCCCCAATGGCAAGGATGACCTCATGAATTTTGAAGTTACGATTAGGCCAGATGAAGGATACTATATGTAAGGATTACTTTTTCGAAACCTGCAAATTTCTGAAGGAAATTTATTGGCCTTTCAATTGAAGTCTGATGTTTCTTTTCCTGTTTATGGATTCCAGGAATGGCACCTTTGTCTTCTCTTTCCAAATTTCTCCTATCTATCCTCATGAAGCCCCAAAGGTCAAATGCAAGACAAAGGTGACAAAACTGCTTCATTTTCTTAAACCATCTTCTTCTTTCTGTCACTTCTGCTGTTCAAATCATTTGAGTGTACCAGTTTACAAATTGAATAGTTCATTTCAGGTATATCATCCTAATATTGATTTGGAAGGAAATGTTTGCTTGAACATCCTTCGAGAAGACTGGAAACCTGTGCTGAACATAAACACAATCATCTATGGCCTGTTTCATCTTTTTACGGTAATTTCTGATTTCTTATAGCAATGCAAACTTTCTTGTCAGTTTTTAGCAATCACTAATCAGGGATTCCATTTTCTGCAGGAGCCTAATCACGAAGATCCTCTGAATCCTGATGCCGCTGCTGTGTTAAGAGACAACCCAAAGCTGTTTGAGTCAAACGTAAGGAGGGCAATGGCAGGTGGTTATGTTGGGCAGACATACTTCAATCGCTGCTTGTAGTGTGATGCAGCATTTTAGTTCAATGTCGTTGCTGGTGATGTTACATCCTAAGTCTCTGTACATTTTGTGCGCAAAATTAAACTATCTGTGGTAATTATGCAAGCATATTTGATGCGGGTTACGAAGTCCTTATGTTCTAAAGTCATCGTAACTCGCAGAAGCTGCTTTTATGCGATTGTAACTTAAATTATCTGTCAAATTGATTTTGTAACAGAAAAGTAGCCCCCATTTGATTCTGATGAAACTATCTTTGCCGTTTTCTCTTTGTTTTGGCTTGTGCATTAGTTCCAGAAGCTTGAATACTCATCAGTTCCAGTAAACTCATATCATGAATGTGTCTAAGCCTCATAAATTTACTCATTGAGGATTTTTCTTGGACTGCATCCTTCTTGTCATTCAAAAAATCAAAACTAAAGATGTTAGAGTTCAGTAGTGACATTGACCAAATTACGAATATGCAGCTAACCTTATATAACCAAAATCATGAAACTGGGCCGATATGAATTTAGAATTCCCCGTTAACTACTTTCACAACTCTTCTATACCCCATGGTAAAGAGCGCTATGAGAAGAAACTCAATTGTGATTGATATGGAATTTGAGGGTGTAATCACAAGTTGGCTGATACCATTTTTTGTTTTTTTTTTTTAATTATTGAAGCCTTGAATATCTTTACCTGGTGAAACTTTATTAAAATTGAACATTAGTGAAAATTTGTCTAATCTAAAGAGAAAAATTAATTACCGGTGTAAAATCCTAAGACCAACACTCTCCGGTCCTAATTGCAAACATGCTTTTTAACTAGTGGTTGCATTGAACCCGTTGGCTTGTATTTTTGTCATTAGGTCCTCTATACGTTAAGCAATTACATTGATCATTTTGTTTTTCTCAATTGGATTAACCGACCCACATGGTGGATAAATTTTTTATTTTTTATTTTTTTTATTTTTTGCTGCTAGAAAATCTTACAGTACGTGTCATGTCATGATAATTTTTTTTTTCTTTCTTGGATACTCTTATCAGCTAAGAAATTGTAGTATTCTGTAGATTGTCAAGTTCACTACTAACTCTTCAAGAATTATTGAGGCCTAGCCCTTGTGTATCTCATAGCTTCGTAGATTTAGGTAGAGAAACCTAAAAATGTTGAAATAAGGATGGAACCTGAAAAGTGATGGCCTAACAATAAGAAGCAATCGAGAATAGGGGTGGCATCAAGATTAGTCATTTTTGCGACGTTGCTAGAAAGTTGAGTAAACCATTCATTGCATATTCGGATTCACGACTCAATTAATTCATTTTTTTTTTTGCTGAAAATTTATCATTAGTGATTAATGGCTGCTAGTGAAGAGATTTTCAAAATCTGATATGCTAGAAATTGTGCAACTTTTTTAGTAATCTCAATTCATTCATTTACTCAATAAATGTCACTAGTATTACTATTAATTAAGAAATGGAAAAGGAGATTTGACATGAAAAGTAGGAAAAATCTGAGCCAAATCTTCAATCTCGATGATATACATTTTTAGAGAAAAAAAAAAAAAAAAATTAGCTCCAAGGCCATTTGCCAAAGGGCTGGGCAGCTAACAGTTACATGGGGTTTGGTTGGGGGACCATTTTTGGGCCGTAGAACAGCCGGTGGAAGCACCCACGTGGCAATGTCTAATTGGGAGTTTGACCACTTCAACACCCCCCTAGGAAGACGACTCTGATCCAAAGTAGAATAGCATCACATGAAAATTCTCCCCTCCAACTCCACCTTTTCTTTACCAGTTTTTTCTTACGCGGATCACACAGTAAGGCTTTGTTTGTTATGTTTTTTTTTTAATTGTATTTTTTAAATATTTAAATAATAATTGTTCCATTTTCATATTTTTTTTTATATTTTTAATATATTTTTTACATTTTCAATAAAAAAACACCTAAAAATATAATATAATACCCTTAGAAAATAAAAAATTATTACTGCTCACCTCACTATTCTGATACAAATTGATCAGATGTTTCTCAGGCTTCTCTTACAGTTGTGTGTGTGAAAAAACGAGAAAGTAAAAAAAAGAATTCCAAATTCTGAAATTTTCTGGAGAATTTCTGACGATGATAGATCAGTTTGGTGACAGCATCCAGACAATAATTAATGATATCAATTCCTACAGAATAGTACTCCTACTACAAATTCTAGTAAATACTACACTATTATACTTTGTTGCATGTTCCCTCTTCTTTCCTCGTTACTTATCTCCATTCTTCTGGCCCCCTTTCAGGCTTTATTTTATGATGATGAAGAAAGAAATACCATGTCCAAAATAGTACTAGTACTAATGCTAATTAATGAATTCTCACTGAATTTTATGCCCATATTAAATCGATATGTATAAGTAATGGTCATGGAAGTGATCGTCATTATTAGATAATCGTCGTCATCATCATATAATCGTATTAATAATAACACATCGAATTTAAATGCGTTAATCTTGTTATAAGTCAAAGCCATCCGATTAGGGGGGAAAAAATCACATCTTTCTACCATAGTTACACTAATTTTCGTTCGGCCGATCCCTTTTGGGACAAATGAAAAAAAAAATAAAAAAAATCCTCAAATTGAGGTGTTAAAGTATGTGTTACAACAATTAGGAATTAGCCGCCAAAGGTAAGTTATGCTACTCGGACAATAATCCAAAATGTTGCACAACTAACTTTGACCATATATAATATAAGAGTGACTACAGTCTTTAATCTAACGTTAATGCTATCCTACAATAATTCATCATGTCTGTAATTTTTGCAGAAGAAGTATTTCTGTAATCTGTTCTTTATCTTTCATCTCTTTTTTTTTTCTTTTTTTTTCACCCATAAAAAAAAAATCAAATCTTCTAACCTCTTTTTCCAGTCCGGATTCGCTGAAAACACAAAACCGATCCCTCGCCGCGCCTATAACACAACCCAAGTCAAAAGTGGCCTAAAAAACAAAAAAGAAAAACCATCATTTTTAACTTTAATTATCTGTCTTGTTGTCTACTACAGTAGTAAGTGAAGATGCAATAATTAATTGTATTGTATAAATTCACTTACATTAGACAGTACAGCGCACACACACACACACACACGGAGATAGAGATTGTTCTTGAGCTTTTGGAAAGCGAAGCCAAAGGGAAGGAAGAAGCGTATTCCTCGTGAGTACTGCAAACCCGGCAACGCAATATACGCTATATAACTACAACAACTGAACCAAATTGCCCACAAAAGAGAGCCAAAAAAAATTATTCCCTCCCTTACAAAAAAAAACCTCCCCTCAGCCAGTCTGCCCTCTGCCCATCTGGGGTCCCCACCTCCTTTCCGTGTATAAAAAAGTTGTATACACACACACACACAAGAGAAGCTGTTTTCTTTTCTCTCTGTGTTTTTGTGTTTTTTGGGTTAAATTAAGGAGGAAAGATTGGAACTTGACAGCAGAAAATGAATCAAATGATGATGTGGGAAGCTGGAGGATCAACCGCATCATCATCTGCTGCTGGCGGTGGTGGAGCTGGTGGCAACGGCGGAGGAGGTGGTGGCGGGATTGGAATTGGTGGTGGTGGTTCTGCGGCTAATGGGAGGAGGAAGCCTTCTTGGAGGGAGAGGGAAAATAACAGGAGGAGGGAAAGGAGGAGAAGGGCAATTGCAGCTAAGATATATGCTGGGTTGAGGGCTCAGGGGAATTATAATCTTCCAAAGCACTGTGATAATAATGAGGTTCTCAAGGCTCTTTGTGCTGAGGCCGGTTGGGTTGTTGAGGCTGATGGCACCACTTACCGCAAGGTCCTCTTTTTAACTCCTTTTGTCTCTTACTGTTCTGCTGGAAAATGGAGATTGATGTGTTTGGATCTTCGAGTTAATTGGATGATTGCTTGAGAAATTTCCTTGATTTGCATGTTTGAGTTAGTTTAGATCTGTCTAGTTTTGATATGGGTTTTGCCTGATTTGGATCAAAAGAGTGCTTTTCTTTATTGGCTTCTTTGCAATTAACCTGGTTTTTTGTTATCTGCGAAATTTTAGCCAATGATGGAAAATTGGAGGGAAATTATTGCTTATCAGTTTTCAGTTGATTTTACTTGATTTGCTCGTTTTGAATGTGAGACTTCTGTGATTAATTTTCCAATTACAAGAATTGCATCCTTTCATTCACTGAGAGAAGAATTGTATCTGAAGAGGTGAATAAAATGGCCTCCATCCATTCATTCTCTCTGCTTGCTTGTATAATTTTTCAGTATTTTGGCAACTTTGCCATCTTCAACAGATTTCTCTAAGCTATCGTCTGTAAGATGACTTTGAATTCCTTTTTATCTATTCTTTGCTGGGGTTTTCTCTTTAACATTTTGGGGGTAAAAAAAACTTTTTCTGAATTCAATGTGGTCCCTTGTGATTCTTCTTGGGCATGGCATGCCAAAGACTGTGATTTCCCCCATGTTTTGCAGCATTTGGTGTGTTTTTTTGGGGTCCTAATCTAATGAATGTCTCTGTTAAATGTTTCAGGGATGCAGGCCATCACCAATGGAGATTGGGGGCACTTCGACCAATATTACCCCCAGCTCTTCAAGAAATCCCAGTCCACCTTCTTCATACTTTGCAAGTCCAATTCCTTCATATCAACCCAGCCCCTTGTCTTCTTCCTGCCCTAGTCCTACCCATGCTAACAACATTTCTTCATCACATCCATTTGCATTTCTCCGCAACTCCATTCCTTCATCACTTCCTCCTCTTCGAATATCAAACAGTGCCCCTGTAACCCCACCTCTTTCCTCCCCAACTAGACTTCCTAAGCAAATTTTCAATCTAGAAACCCTTGCCAAGGAGTCCATGTCTGCCTTCAACATTCCCTTCTTTGCTGCTTCTGCACCTGCCAGCCCTACAAGAGGCCAGCGGTTTACTCCGGCTACCATACCTGAATGTGATGAGTCTGATTCATCCACTATTGATTCAGGACAATGGATGAATTTCCAGTCATATGGGGCTAATATGGTCCCAACTTCTCCTACATTTAATCTCATGAAACCTGTGGTTCAGCAAGTTTCGGCCATGGATGTCTCAGGAAAGGGTAAGGGTACAGATTTTGACATGGAGAAACTACCAGTTAAGGCGTGGGAAGGGGAGAGGATTCATGAAGTTGGATTGGACGATTTAGAGCTTACACTTGGAAGTGGAAATGCCCGCATTTGAGGCAATCGCATTCCATATCCTCATTGATCGATGAAACAACAAAGCAATGGTGCGTTCTGTACATTCACTTAGCATTCTTATGGATGCTCTGTCCATGATTAGAGGATCTTATTCTCGGCTGCAACTTGGATGCTGGTTTAAACATAGAAATGTGATCGACTTGGTTATCAGGATGGATTGCTTTTTTCTCTTTGATTTTTTTTTCTTTTTCTGGTGCCCTTTATTGTTAGCAGTTCTTTGAGACCTCTACCTAATTAGTTTGGGTGTCTCCAAAGCCATTACATGTAGATAAATTCTGTTATATTCGTATTGGAGTCAAGGGTATTTTCGATTGTAAACTTAGAGGTTAGAGAGTTGGAAAAACGGTTTGAGGATTGCTTGCCTTCAAAAACAGAGGCTTAATGTTACATTACATCCCTCCCCATTTATTTATTTATTTATTTGCTCTTTCTTTGGGATCTTCTCTAATCTTCTTCTGTTCCAGCTTTGCTTTAGTCAGTAGATCTCCATATACTCAGTTTTGATCTCTCCACATGCCCTACGTATGCAGATTTTGGATTTCATGTAACCATATAGCACGCTTCTGTATCAGAAACTCAGAAGCTAGTATAAGGTTCAATGTTTCTGCAACAATTTGTATGGTCTTCTTGGTCCCATTTGGTTGAATGTTTTCTTGACCAACTTAACCGAATTCTGTGATGTATATGGGCCATGGCCGGATGGGTTTCTGAAGGTACGTGTGAGATATGCACATTTCAGAAGATTATTAAAAGGGAAGAAGAAGTGGGGGCGTGATGAGCAAAAATGTGTTTTTGCGAGGTTGGCTTCTTAGCTTGTAAAAGGGCCATCATTTTTTGTGGTATTTTTTAAACTCTATCAATATCTCTAGCAATCATCCCATAAGAACCATAATTACAACTTTAAGGATTTCATTTGCTCTTTTGCATTAACGCGGTTTCTGGCACATGGATTGCCTGTTGGTATTATCTGCCCCATGTTCCCCAAAATCTCATGAACACACGTTAACAATAACAAATCATTGCAACACAAACACTAGAATAAATCATTTTGGGACGGGGTAAGTAACGAGCTTTTAATCACGATCTTATAAGCTTCAATATTTAGAAAAGTAAAGAATACCTCAATCTCTTAACATTTACAAATAAATCACAAGAAGACCTCAATCTCTTCAACATTTACAATTACATAAATCACCCAATCAACTGCAGTAAAAATTACACCTAGCAAGTAAAATTGAGAAGTTACATTAGATTTATTTACTATAAGTGAACTGCCTTGGTCAAACACTAGAAGTTCTTATACTCACAAGCTGAAAAATCCTGCAATCAGTTCTGCACATGAATTGACTCTATGGGATGGTCTCATTTACTAGGTTGCTGCTTCTGTAGGCTTTGCATTCGGATTCTTGATGGGGTTAATGTTGCAGCATTCATTGTATCTAAAGCATGATACTAGATGATCGTTAACCATTCCAGCAACTTGCATGAATGAATACACAACGGTAGGTCCAACACAACGGAATCCCCTGTTCATCAAATCCTTGCTGATGAGTTCTGATTTTGGTGTTTTTGCCGGAACTTGACGTGCGTAGCGAAAGCCGTTTCTTATTGGTTTGTGGTTTAGGAATCGCCAACAGTAGTGGCTGAAAGAACCAAACTCTTCCTGAATCTGAGGAATGAATTATAGGTCAAAGAGAAATTAAACAGCTTATTCATTAAAAAACCACTCTCCAAATCTAGGTCTTAGCTCAAAGATTTACGGAACTTCTGAACAAGAAATGCATGTGTTGGTTTGTGGTTAGTATGCATAATTGTTAGAATTCTTATTCAGTGAAACCATCGTACAAGCTACATTGCTGAATCAGTGAATCACAATCCTAATATATGCAATAGAACAAAGCAAAATTGGAGCAAAATCATGTTCATCCTAAAGTGCAAAATAGGAGCAAAATCTTGTTCATCCTAAAGCTTTCCCTCTTCGCAATCAATATAAGAAACAAGACATCATTCTAGTTTATGGTTTTATTAGTTGAAGGAGTTGTGACATTGATTGTAAAAGCTTTGTACCTTGAACACTTGCTTTGAGTTTTCGACAATGGCACGAAGCTTTTGCTCGGATAATAATGAACTACTTCTCAATGTAAGCAACTGCTTATCATCAATGCTTGCAATAGATATTGGGTCAAAGTTGTCAAACAACTTCCTGCGAAGCAGAGAACTCAACAGTAAGACCCCAAAGCCATTTGGTACAAACAAACAATTGTGTAATAACATAAGATGCAGATTGCAGAAAAGAGAGGGAGGAGTACCTGAATACTTCTCTCTTGCTAAGAATTGTGGGCCACGTGAGTTCAGACAATGTTTGTGACAAAACAAGCAGTTCAAATAGCTTTCTTTCCTCATAAACTGGAACTCCCCATTCTCCATCATGAAAAGCAGTATAAATTGGTTCTGTAAAGTTCAAAACTTTATCAGTAATGTGTAAATCCCTTTCATCACCACCGAAAACAAAGTACTATATAGATTCTTCTTTTCCCCAATACAACCAAAATGATATTTCTACGCAAAAAAAAAAAAGAAGAAGAACGAATTTCGGGATATATGATGTCACTTGACCAATACTCAAAAACTAGTAAAAAAAATAAATAAATAAAATGCTAGCAAAACCCGGAGAGCACATAATTCAGCAAATTCCAAATACCACATCACAACCAAATTAATTAATTTTAACTTCAAACACAAAAACACAGTTTCAGCAGATAAAATCCAAATTAACAGACCAAATGTTCAAACTTAAATCAAAGCTTTTACAAGAAATCATACCAGAGAATTGTGTAATCCATTCGCAACGCTTAACCGGACCCGAAACCGGTGGAGAGAGCGTCAATGTTTCAACACCATCACGAACCACTTTAGCTGCTTCTTTATCAAGATCACTCAATTCTTTCACTTTCTTCCTCGAATTCTCACTTTTCGCAGATGACCGATTATCTACTTTGGATTTGGGGCTGATGGAGGAGACTGATTTCTTAACAGGAATCGGGGTATCAGCAGCCAATTTCTTCTTCAGACCCTCCTTTTTCTTCTTCTCTTCTTCTGAAACCCGGACCCTGTTTCCTCCGGGACCCAGAATTTTCCTTGCATCAGAATTGGCTTTTGCGTGAGAATTCAGCTCAACCACAACTGACATGTTTTGCAGCCACAGGGGAAGCCCAACCTCAGTTAAAGATTGAAAATTGAGGGCCAAATAATGGGTTATGTATACAAACTGAGAGAGCTATGAATGCAAATGTTGCGAAATTCGAGCACAAATTGGTAGAATGAAATCACCGACAAGAAACAGAGAGCCGGAGAACAGAGAAGGAGTTGAAAAATTCAGGGGAAAAAACGACAGAATAACTGCACGAGCAGTGGGAGGTTTTTTAAATGTGGGAACTGTTTGAAGAAAGGTCGACTGGCTACAGCAGGTTAGAGTGCTTTTGTTGGAAGTGAAGATTTACCATTTTGGGTATTGGGAAGTACGAGAATTTCATTGGGAAAACGCAAGTCATGCTCTCGATATTTGCCCATCCATTCTTGTTTTCAAATTCAAATTCTAGTGTTTAGAGGGCTTCTCTTTCTCAAATGATCATAGATAAATCATAAATAAATGGGGTTTTCGAAAGCTAATAAACTCCAGAACAGATGATATCTTTAATTTACACACCTTGTTATTTAAAAACTTTAAAATAATAATTTTATAGTATAATTTTAAATACTATGGAATAAAAAGGTCTAGAAAAAAGGAAAGAAATGATGAATCGATTTTGAAGGAAAAGATGAGAAGAAGTAGGATTGAATACCAAAACACATTATTCACTAGTCGTACAAAACTGTTACATTTGTACATTTTTCTCATTCATGCAATCTGTGTTTCACTTTCATCATTTTTGTCAAATCATAACTGTCATTCACAACTTGATGATAGGAAAATTAGCACAAAATAGGATCTAAGACTATTTGATGTTGTTTTCTTTTATCATAGGATAAACTATACATTGTAATTAGTTTAAGAAATTGCTTATTACAGTGGTGGAAACTACGTGATAGAGAGAGAGAGAAACGTTGATACTATTACTATAGTTTATTTTTTTTCTTTTTGTGTCAAAGAGCCTTATAAATCGAAAATGTAATTCTTTCTTCTTGCTTGTTTTCTTCTTCATTTTTGGTTCAAGAATTTGAATTCCATGGCAAAACTGCCTCCAAATTATAGAAGGGCAAATCCGGAAATAAGAATGAAATGTGGAAGGTAAGATGCCAGGGAGGAGCAGTGGCCAGGGACTTAGGCAAGGTGTCACAGTCGGTTGTTAAGTCGTTAAAGGCTACGATACTTACCGTTACAAGAAAGCATCCCAAGCCCACCACCTCCCACTTTCACCGCATAACGAGCCAGAATTTTGGCATAGGGGGTGCGAAATTAACTTAACCGAATAAGTACTTAATACTTCACAAAAGAAAAAAGTGTTTTTGAAAAATACCAAAATCCTTTTTTTTCCTCATTCAAAAATATATAATAAATTATTTAGAACTATGACGTTCCTAGTTTACTTATCTTTGACATCTAAATTAACGTTACAGGGATTAAAGATATAGCCTAGATGTATTTTTGGTGAGGTAAATTTAGGAAAAAAATTTCTTAATTTAATAAGTTTTATATACAAGAGAAAGCTAGTTACTTTTATTTTATACTAGATTAAATTCATTAAGAAAATTTTAGTATAATTAAGGGGAATTACATAAGTTTGTTATTCCCTATTGTTTGTTTGAATATATATATGATAATTGATGAATTTAAAATTTTTATATTAAGTTCTTAACATATTAAAAACTTTATTTTGGACTTTTATTTTCCTGTTGATTTAGTTTGTAGTTGAATCTCATATGACTCTTATTACAATTCTTTTGGACCTTAACTTGTACTCTTTTATTGTTTGCAAGGGATTTTACATCATTGCCAATTATCATGAGAAAAAACTAAACTTAATACTCCCTCTGTCCCATAATTATTATCCAGTTTGATATTTTACTTTTCGTACAATTTGAACTAGAAATGAAAATCCAAATTGAACAATAATTATGGGACGGAGGGAGGAATATTTTTTGGAAAGGTTTTGCTGTTTCATTTTCTTACCTTCAGATTTAGATGTTGGAAGAATAGAAAAGATTCTTGAGATATTTGTATCAAAGTTAAGTAAAATGTTATAGTAAGAAAAATTTTAGAGGGGGTGCGAAATTGAACAAGTTACTTTTTTTCCTCAATAATTAATGATAATTATTAAAAAAATTTAAAACCGAGGGGGTGCCGCCACATAATCAAACCAAACCATAATCAACACCTTGTCACCGGCGGCGGGCCACCCCCTGGCTCCGCCCCTGCGCATAATCGAACCAAAAAGGGGAATAGAAACCCGTTATCGTTTTCAGCCAACGGCTACGAGACCTGGTCTACACCAATCTTCTCTAAATGGGCTTTGTTATGAGGTTGATGGGTTCCAGTACGTACAGCCCATAAATTGTGTTCGACCACTCAAATGAATTTGATGTTCGTTTCAGCTTCCCCTAACGAATAAGGGAGTAGTTGTAGAAAATGTACACCAACTGGCAAGAGTGAAAAGCTTCTCTCTGCTAGTTTTTGTTACTCTTTCAATATATTTATTTATTTAGTGATCTTTCCAGCATATATAGTCTCATTTTCTCTTATTATAAAGCAAGAGGCCCAAATGAAAAGTACTTTCGCCGTAAGAACTTGGGAAGTGTATATATATATATATATATATATATATATATATATATATGTACACTAGTGATTTTCTGCCCACACACCCACTCGACAATGCACATATTATATCTTTGTCTATTTTGATAATTTAATTTTAAAAAAATGAATAAGACACAATGGCGCTGTTCATAAAATGATTGAATTTGAAGTATCAATCAACATAGTTAGAAAAATACTTGTGACAATAGAATTGAAGGTGTATGTGTAAAATGGTAAATTAAAATAAATAAATTTGAAATCAATTACTTCTTACGGATCAAATGATTATTCATCATATTAAAAGTGAAAATTTAAATTAAAAAATTATTTTAAGAGAAAAAAAGAGTATTACTTATAGTAGGTGCTTTGAATATTTATTCGGGAGTTCATAGAGGTTTGTATCTCATATTTATAAGTGAAGTCTAACGGATATAAATAATTTTTATATCAGAATTTGATGAATTAAATAGCATATATAACCATAATCAAGTATTGATATGTGTAATCTTTTTCCTTTTAATAGCTTAATAAACAATTCATAATAAAAATAGACGAACATAGTAAATGAGGACACATTTCCTATAAAAATATAATAAAGAAACACTAACTGAATGTTCTTATTACGGTTATTATTACCATTGTTATTAATTTAGTCAGCCCTGAAAATCATCTCCAGAAGTCAGTTAAAGTTATGGTTTTTGTGGAGTTTAATCAGGCAACCAACCTTTTAAATTGACATATGTCCTTGGTTTTCGTAAGTGAAAAAAGGGAGATGTCAAATAAAGAAAAGAAAGAAGAGCTTGAGCGGGGAGGGGGGACGACGAAACTACTGTAGAATGCCCCCCTCTCGCTTTTATAAATATATATATATATATATATATATATATATATATAACTATATACTAAGGGGGAATCCCAGATTTCGGCTCCGGTTTTTCTGTGTTCTCAGTCATTTGTGGACACGTTGCACCAGCCAATTAGACCGACTGTATTAGACACGTTGTCCACGAGCGTTCTAATTCTTCATTTTCCCGTTGCCGGTCCACTATCTTCTCTCTGCCCGCCTCTCTATTTTCCAGTCTTCTCTGCACCTTGGATTCTTCCTTTCAGACTGATTTGAGAAATATAAGGTGTCAATTACTGCCCCAATCTCCCCGCAGTCCCTTTAGTTTAGCAGCAGTGGGCTAACTTATTGTTAAGTCGATTCATCTTTCTACGCGTTCTTTAGTGTGGTAAAAAGTGTAAATTTTCCATTCCAATAGAAGGAGGTGTATGACTCAGCAAAGGGAGAAAGGAAAACTGTAAGTTGAGGTTCAAATTGAAGATATCGAAGGTATGCTTTCCAATCTTGTTTACCTTTTAATTATAGCTCTGAGTCTTCAATTCTGAGGCAAAGTTTGGTACATTAGTATGAATTATTCATCAAGAATTATTTGTTCAGCTGCTAAATCGAACTCAAAATTTCTTTGTTTTCATTTCCTTTATAATGTATATTTCCCGTTGCTTGCGGATTCATTTCCAATAACTTACTTAATCACTCTAATAATTACAATTGCACCGAGTTTTTTTGAAATGTTTTTTTTTTTTTAAATGGTAATTGCACCAAGTAAATCTCTGTGAGTTGCAAGACTGAGAATGTGTGAGTTACAATTATAGCTTGCTATATCTATTAGATTTCCTTCAACTTGTTAGCACTTAGTGTTTGCTCATAAAGCCTGAAACTGATTATATCATCTATACCGTAGCTAATCATCTATAAGCCCTTGGAGATTCAGAACTTGCTATGTTAGGCAATAACACATCAAGATGAGCACTACCCTATACGAGGAGATCCTTTAGGCCTATGTTTTGAATTTTAATGCATAACGCATTTAATACATAGTATGATGCAAAACCAAAATACTATTAACTGTTTTGTGGTTTGGACTCCATCTTCCACTACAGTTTGTCTTTTCTTTTTCCACTATTTTCATTTATCTTCTTGTATATATTTTCAATCTGTTTATGCATTATGTTTCGTCAACCAGTATTACACCTTAGACTGTTTATTTATTTGGTTGAAATTCTTTGCCTACAATTGATACCATGTTACACTGGATTTTGTCAAATTAATTGAATTTCACAATCTCCGATCCATTGAGGCTACAGGAGATTCAGACTCTTTCTCTTCGTGATTTGGTGGCGGATGAACAAGCTTCATCAAGCTTTAAATTTCCATTTTTTTTTTTGAGGTGAATCCCACTCAAGGAGGTCTACAAGATTTATACTGAGGCCTTCAATAGCCCAAAATCACTTGCTCCTTTCGGTGATAAGCCGTGATTGCAGCCGAAAATCTTTCTTACAAAACTTGAGGTTCAAGATCCACTTATTCTTGCAGTAGACACGGACTGTTCCAATATTACAAACCTCAAAATGTTGACTGAAAATATGACATCAGTGATCCATTTTGATGCTACAATCCAGGTATCCGCAATGTACATATTTAAGTCCTCCTTAATGCAAGAAAACAGAAATTCACTATGTTAAAAAATAAAATAGGTCATATTGTTTGATGTAATGGATTATAGTGAGAGCCAGATCAGTCCAACTACAGGTATATCATAAATCAAGCTATTAAAAGAATGATGAATA